CTGGAAGCCCTGACTCCTGACCTTTGCCACTGGAAGTCCCTGACCTTGCTCCCGGACATACTCCTTTTGGGAGGGGGGGAATGCTATCTTAAAACCAGAAAAAAAACAAATCATACACTAAAAGTCAAACAACTACTACAATGTATTTTAACTTTATTACAAAAAATATTTTATAGAGGTGATTGCATAATAACTCAAAAATAAATTCTTAGTCTTGTGTGTGTGTGTGGGGGTGGGCAGGGTGTGTATGTGTGTGGTGGGGGAGGGTGTATGTATGGTGGGGTGTGTGTGTGTGCATGCACAGCCCCTGCACTCACCAGGCATGGGAGGGAAGCCCCAGGCACTGGAGCCAGCTGCTTTCCCCACTGGAGCTTTTGCTTGATGTGTTGTTTTTCTAATAATCTTCTATCCTGTAGTCCTTCCCCATTCTCCCTCTCTCAGATTAATAAAAGCTATCTGTTACAGCACCCCTAGCTGTGAATGCTTGAGAGGAGGGGCAGGCCTTTATGCTTCCAGTAGAGCTTGGTGAATTATTACCTGAAAACATCCTGGGTGGCTCCAGGCTAGAAGGAGCACTCAGAAATACTACCAGTGGGAAAAGCACCCAAGGTCTGCAGGGTCTATGTAGCCCAGGCTACACAGAGCCGTATCTGAGACCAAAGCCTGGGTGGTGGCAGCAATTACCCCAGGCTTGCGGGCGTGCTCTGGGGAGGTGGTCGGTTGGACATAGGTACCCCAGGGGAGACACCGGAAGCGGGGTTTTGGTCAGTGAGGTGGGTGGCTTAGCATAGTAGTACTGTCCTGCCACACACTATCCCTAACAAGCATTGAATGAGGCTAATTTACATTCTTGAGTTCAAAACCATTTGGTTTTTCACTCTACTAATTACCAGATTAAGACAGGTAGGCATGTATCATGAAAAGAAACATCACGCAAGGATAGCTCCCATGAAAATATCACATATATAAACATTTAAAAGTTTGTGCTCTATGCTTCTTGTAGAATCATGTGATTTTAGGTAAGTTGAGTTCTGTATAATTACGGATTATAATGGTTCCTGTGAAAGCTCTGAAGTCACCAACGCAAATACTTACTTGATCATCCCTGGGTGAACCAGCTCTCTACCACCAAATATACGACATAAATGTATATAAATATACATCCTGAATGCATTTTTCAGAACGGTATTTTTTATGATTTAGTGTTTCCCAAACATAGATGCATAGAACTGCAGACTCAAAACATCTTACCCTGAGGAGGCTTTCAAAAAAATATCATCTCACCACATTTCTTAGAGAAAAGAAGTCTTTTCTTTTCTGGGATCTTATTGCACACAAGTTTGTTGTGGAGACATCATTGTCTCCAGGGCTAAGCATACTGAAGTTATGATAATCCAACTGTGTGAAAATATTTAAGCGAGTTTGTTGCTGTGAGACTGTTCCATTAGACTCTAACAAGAAACGCTGCTAGAATATTTCCAGAAATAAAGATTATGGCCCTTATACAACCCCCACTGAAGGAAATGGAAAGGCTACCATCCACTTCAGCAGTGGACTGTATCTGAGACTTGGATCAGTATACTTGTAGCTAATAAAATTGCCTTTTTTAGAAATGTCAAATAAAAGGAGGTGCTAATTGTCACAAGTATATCACTGTACATAATTGTTTTTTACAATGTAAAGTTTTTAGCATATTTCTAGGGGTAGATATCCAGCTATCAAGAGTGAGAGCTGTATTTATTTTCACTCTTTAGTAGCTCCCTACAAACCTATTTAAAATCTAGTACTTGAATTACAGGATGCCCAAGTCACTAAACACAAGCATAAGTACTGTAAAATTGTGTGCTTAATCAGGGAAAGAGTAAAAGCTGTTTCTTCTTGAACAACAGTAATTATTTGTCTGTATTTTACTAGCAAGGATCATTGAACAGCATAGTTACAAGAGTCATGAAAGTATGTTGTTAATATGTGCTGTGTCATCTGTCTGAAAAGTTTTCATAAGAAGACTCTTTGTTTTGCTTCATTGCATGGTTCCACTTCTTGCATCTGTATGCATACAGGGTTCTTCGAGGGCTTAGCTGCACAACAGGAACAGTCTTTTAATCATTGTCAGGCATATTTATAATAACAACAGACCCTTAACAGTCACTAAAATAAATCTTTCTTGCAGATACACACAATGGACATTGTTCACTGACTTTAAAATACTGACTTGGCTCTCTTGCAAGGTACAACTATGATAATTATTTGAAAAGTATACCCAATATGGATAAGTATGTTTTATAAGTTTCCCTTCATATGGAAAAACTGTAGAGCTAGAGAATGTCCTCTTAACTAATTCAGGGCAAAGCATGGAGTCAGAGATGTTCCTACCTCAGCAGAAATAGCAAGAGCTTGGTTCCTAGGCCCTGGATGTCCTGAGATCCCAGGGCATGTTCTAATGAACCCTCTGGAAAATGAGCATTCAGTTTATGGTCTGGTGTCCCATTCACTGGGAAACAGCTGGGAGCATTTCGAAAGAAACGTACTTCACCCTCCATTGAACCCTTGTGTTTGTGAACAACAATTTCTGAAGACCCAGTTGGTAACCATATTGCGATACTCTGAGTGAGACTTATGAAGGAGAAACACAAATAATTTTGAGAGGGGGTGCAGTAAAGAGACAAAGAACCTGGGAAACATAAACCAGCTTCTTATGAATTACCTTACTAGGGATCAGCACCTACTTTCCAATTAATTAGGTGAATTCTGCCCAGTGACGGACTGGATTGCTAAGGTGAGAAGAAAGGCCTGGACATCTCTTTTTCCAAAAACTACTCCAAGCCATCATAGGTCAACACTCCACTCCAGCCCTCCTGAAAGCACAACCACCAGTGAAGCCCAGACTTCTATCATCAGGGTCTATGTTCAGACACGTCAAAAAGGTTTCTTCTCTTAGTTGAGAAAGGTAATACCTCCAATACAATGTGGGCCTTAGTTATTTTGGTTGTACTTTACAACCAGGCGCATCCAAACGAGCATGTATATGAGGTCTGAGATGCCGCAAACTGCACACGGCCCATGTGCACCCATTTGCTGCACTGCTAATACACAGCGTGGTGCCAAAATTTGAAACTAAAAGATCCAAGCAGGCTCCAGGCAGCCAGATCAGCACTGCTGATGCCCCCGAAGGCCCCCCATATCCCAGGTAAGGCCGCTAGAGCCTCCGCTGCCCCACCTGTGTCAATTTACCATGTGCTGGAATGCACACACAGAGGCGTGCCCTGCAACAAAAATCAGTGGTACAAATATGTGCCACTGCTTTTTGTGCTGTGGGAAACACGTACCCCTGCATACATACGCTCATCTGGATGCACCACCAGAGGGCAAAAGCAGACCAGACACTTAGGCTATGGACAGACATTCAAAAAGCCTGAGCCTGAATTGATTCAATCTTTGCAGGTTAGTCTAACCTGGCTAGGCTGAACTGTTTTGTGACCGCACAGACATCTCTGGACTGAGAAAATGCAGGCACATGCCTGCAGTGGCTCAAGCTAGAATCCAGGGGGAGCAAGAGCAGCCCTCTCTTCCCTTTCATAGTGCATGGCCAGGCCCCAGCAGGATGCTCAGATTACGGAGGGGTCCCGCCCTGGTCAGTGAGGGAGCCAGTGATTTACACAACATTTAGTTACACAGCAGGGAGCATTTATCATCCTATCAGCAAAATGAAAGGATCTCTCATTAGTTCAAGCTCTCCTTAAACAACTTATTCCAAAGAAGGAAGGGAGGGACATTACCAGCTGCCTGTTGATTAGCTCCAAAAAGCCCTAAGCTGACACTGTCGTGTCTGCCTTTGTCCTGTCTCCCACAGCATGGACTGGACCCAGCATGTGGTATGTTAGCTAATGTAGAGAGGTGTCTGTGTAAGGCAGAGGGGAGGGCAGGGGGGGAATCCCTACTTCAGCAGGGAGTGGTGAGATGGAGGGGGAAGGCAGGAGGAAACCAGACAGATGCCTTGTACCTGCAGTCTCTGCTGGATCTGCAGCCAGGGAGCAAAGGGGAGGGGCCAGTCCAGCTCTGGAGCATAGAGCCCCACCCAGCCCAGAGAGCATGCCGGGATGCTGGAGGACTCTGATTTAACTTAAACCAGAAAGGGGTCTGGGACAGACATTGCATAAACTGGTTGGACCCAAATCAGTTAAGTCTGATACTACAATCAACCAGGTTTATCTCAAACCAGTTTTAGCCATTTTCAAACTGGTTTATGTGCACTGAACATCTGTTCTGTTACAGGTTTAAACCAGTTTCTGATCTCTTAAACTCTTAAATATCTGTCCCTAGCCTTAGAAAAGGCAAATTACTTAGGTTTACACATCTGGTTCATTTTGAGGATGCAGCTGACATGGACTTCCAAAGAGTCTCCCTCTGGCTGAAGGTATTCGGTATCAGTGTTAGTACACAGAGCTTCATCATATGACTACTTTATTGCCATTCTTAATTCTTCATATAAGTGCAACTTACGTGAATTCATTTTTATCATCTTTTGTCAAGGAGAGTTTTAAGGTTTGGAGAAGTTTTGTGTACTGAGTTTTTGCTGAAGATACAAAGATCTCATAGTCACCTGGTTCATCCCATTTAAGATTATTTATATTGTTCTTTAAGTGATTTAAGAGCTTCAGAGAGCACATTTGATTAGCTAGCACCCTTTAACTTTGACAGCTGCAAGCATGCATTTAACTCTGTGATTGACAAAAATTGCTATCAAGTTTTTCGGAATTAATGGAGTTTCCTAGAATAACAAGTACACTGCTTGGTTAACCATTTCTCCTGGGACTTTTAGCATAAAAACAAAAAAACCAAAACAAAACAAGAAAGCCTAGCTCATATGCTTTCTATTAGTATGTTCGTTCACTTGTGCCAATAAAGAATTGTCCTGGGAGCGCTGGTCTGGTTTTTGCATGTTTCTTTTTTAAAGACCCTTAGTTGCAGCATTCCTGTGGTAGTAGAACAACAACTTTTAAAACTTAGGTTTGGGGAGTATATAGACTAGGTCTTACTTATAAAATCAGCAGTTTTAGCGAACGTGATAATCTTGGTAAATGTTATTGGCACCACTGGTGTTTTTCATTGACAGCTGGTACTCCGCTGGGCCCCAATCCTACACACATTTAGCCAGTGCTTCTCTTCAAGCATGTGAGTAGTCTCGTTGAATTTATAAAAAGGGATCTTGTTTTGCAGTTCACATAGCCATTGAGTTCAATGGGAATACTCACATGCTTAAAGTTAAGCATGGGCATAAATCTCTGCAGGCTTGGAAACGTAATTTGTAAAGGGCCAAACCCTGGCCCCAGAGAAGTCAGTGGAGGTGTTGACATTGAATACTTTCCAGGTGTGTGCACAAAGTGGTTGTGTGTGCAGGATCCATACCTGACTTATGATATCTATGGTGTCTGCCTGTAAACATGCTGAGATGCAGTAACCTTTTCTGTTTCCCTCTCATACATATTAACAAGCCCATAGAGGACTGTCCTCTGTGACTTGCCTAAGGTCAAAGAAAAGTCAGGAAGAGAGTGCAGTCTGTCTCTCATACCCCCAGCCACACTTACCTTGACACAACCAATCTACTAGGGGTGTGTGAAACGGGCCCTATTGGATTTGGATTTGGACTGAATCAGGTACAGTGATTCGATTCATTGATTCAGATCACTGCCCCCAATTTGATTCGGCCGAATCCATATCTGAAGACTCGATACTGATTCTGAGAATCAGCAATTTGGACATAGACACAGCTTTAAATGTTTTTTCTACAAACCTTGAGGTACCAGGCACGGCTCATGAAAGCTGTGCTGCTGGGGCAGATGGAGTGTCCACGGGGGGATGCCAGGTCATCCCCTAGACCCAGGAGGCACCAGTCGCCGAGCCAGCTTACTCCCTGGGCGGACCCAGAAGTGGACTGGAAGTGCTGCTGAGCGCACTGGGGAGCTCCCCGCACTTCTGTGGGATGCTCCATGCGCCCTAGCACTGCAGCATTCACGAGCCCCTGCTACCTAGAGGTACTCAGAAAAAACATTTAAAGCTGTGTCTATATCCAAATTGCCAAGTATTTCCAAATCTCTCCAGATTGATTTGGAGGGTTCCGATTCAATTCGGAGAGGTTAAAGGGTCCTATGATTCAATTCGGATTTAGAGATTTGGCCACTGAATCAGGCTGAATCTCCACTGAATCAAATCAGGGACTGAAGCTTCACACTGTCCTACAATCTACACGTACAGTTACCACCCTAAGGTAGCAATCCCCTGCTTTTTGGTGTTTTACTTTTATAAATATTCATTTGCATTGTGGCAGATTAGGAAAACTCAAAAGCAGTTTTACTTTCTCCATATGATCTGTATTCCCATTGCAGCTGTTAAACCAAGCTGCTATTCCTGCTAGATTGTACAACGACCTCCTAGGACCATACTGGCTTCCAGTATAAATTAGCATTTCCCCACTGACTTCAGTATAGCAATGTTTGTTTACAGCAGGTGAAGATGTAGTCAACAACTGGCTCTGTGTTTCATAGATTTCATAGACATTAGAGCTGGAAGGGACCTTAGAAGATTATCGAGTCCAGCCCCCCACCCAAAGGGGGTGATATCATAATGTATGATTGGTAATAACCAATACTTCTAATGATGAAATACATCTATGGGAGAGCAATCAAGAGATGACTTCATATAGCAGGAACACTTAGGAGAGAATGTATAGACCATTAGGAAGAAAACCCGTAAAAAGAAATAGTCATATCTGTTAATATCAACAGAAAGGTAATATAAATTCTATAGAGAATAATACAAATAAAATACAATATTGAGTTTGATATATTTGAAAACTTTCCCTAAAACGCATTTTGCATAATATAATCGCTGTATATTATTGTACATATGTGACTGAATGTTTTCATAAGTAACCATGTTTTAGGTTATTTGAATGTCTGTACCATATCTAGTGTTTAAGAGCCATATCTTTGAGTTTGTCAGATGAAGTCCCTTTCAGTACTCACCTCAGCTAATGGGAATCAAGGTTAAATTGTGAACACATGCTCAATTTTATTACTGCAGTCAAAATGAGGAAACGTGCTGACGGAAGTCAGATCAGAAATAGTCAGTGAAATATTTCCAGATTTCATAACCCAAGGGTGATGATCAGGTTCCAAAAAAAGATAATGCAAATTTCATAAACTCAAGCCAGCTGCTTTCTTTAAATCAGTATAATGTTTTCTTTGAGAAATGGGGCAGAGATCTTAACATGGTGAAGAATCACCACTTGCATTGTTATTTTTGAAGCAGCTGTCATTTATCCATAATGAGCTTATGTTATTTTAAAATTCATTGAGGGTAAAGCCTTAAATTAAAATCTCTTGAAATGACATTTTAAAAGCTCTGCTGAATAGTGCTGTTCCTAAATGTTACATTTTCAGGTTGTGCATATTCTAATAAAAACTGCTCACATTTCTTAAACATCTCAGCCATTTGCACTCAAGACCTACAGCGTGATGGACAAAGCTGTTACAGGCTCCCATCGTGACATATTAACTGAAATTTTTTAAGAACTATTCATGTGAGAATTATTCATAATTCATTCTCATTTCAGATTATTTTAAGAATTATTTGTAATTCATTCTCATTTCAAATATCAGCTTGAAACGAGCAAAAGTGTCCTAGCCTATGCAAAGAGTGGACAGTGTCACTGAAAATTTTAACTGCACCACTCTGTGTACATTAGCCCCATTAACCACATTCATCCCCATGGCTACGGATAGAAACGTATGCTTTACTATTCATGCAATCCTTGCTGGCCTCTCTGCTGAGTCATTCAGCACTGCCAGGTGTGGTGATGTATTCTGTGATGCAAAACTCAATTCTTGATAGTAATTTATCTCACATTGGCCACATTTGTCCATGTTGGTAGTAATTTTGGTTCACTGTTTATCTGGGCTGAAGTTGGTGTGCTATGATAGCGACTCTCATTCCTAAAAAAGATCTGGGCTGTGTTTAGCTGGCTACTGTACATACACATAGCAAGTAACACAGTCCTTACACCACAGCACTTTCAGTTGAATAGACAAGACAAATAAAGAATGGGAATAAGGGAATATTACTGTTTTAGTAATTACTGTATGTGCATTAAGGGAATATCCTCTTTTAGTAATTACCATCCTCTTATAGGATAGTGCAGATGTGTTAAATAACTTGCTAAAAGCAACACAGGAAGCCTGTGGTCATCAGAAAGTAAGCAAGCCCTGAGCTTACTTTCTGACTTTTTTCTGCTTCTCCTGATATCCTGCACATTCCCAGAAAAAGCAGGGCTACAATAAGAGGTTGCTGGGTCCATATAAAACTCCCTGGACTCAGTTTGCAGAGAATTCACAAGAACAAGTTCTGAGTTGCATGTAAGTTTATGTCCTCCAAGTGTAACTTGGATTTTGAATGAATAATGTTAAGGTGAAACGATCTGAATTTCACCAGTTCTGCCATCAAAACCAAGCTCAATGATAAATCCTGCATGGTGTCAATGTGAAGGAATATGTTGGACCACACTTGCTCAAAATGGAGCCTGCATTCACTTGCAACTCTAGGAATTGCATTCAGCAAACCTAGGACTTTTTTACAGAATCCCAAATAAAGCAAGGGTCACATGGCTCCAGCTTTTGTTAT